ATAAACAGACGATAGGATCTAAGAAGATTCTCAGACAAGGGATATTGTTTGAAGAAACCAAAATCAAAGTAACTCCATCGGCCAATTTTATCAGAATCATCAGCGAATGAGACTTAAAGAAGAGACAAGCTAACTACTTGAAAGGCGAGAAAACGCGGGGTGGCCGAGTCGCGATCGGTTTAAGTTAGACATCGGCTTGGTTGGGATGATGGCGGGAGTTTACTAGACCAATCGCATGGCAGATTATACAAAATCAATGACGACACTCCTTGCTTGCTTTCATTGTAAATTCTCAGGACTAACAGAGAATTTATCGTCGTCAGTTAGAAGAATTGGCTTTCAGATCGTGAGAGCCAGAATGGTTTGAGAATAAGCCTTTTTGACTTGCGTGGATAGTGCCATTCGGCACATTGACTTTTGTTTTATACTTTTCCCCTTTGTGCTCTATCAGGAGTCTCATTTCTAGCCTATTAATGAGGGTGTTTTGTCGATTTAATGTTCGGAAGTTGTAAGCAAGTCATGCACATCTTAACAATTTTCCTTGCAGTCAAGGTTCAAGACCTTACTTAGTTCCTTAAAATAAGAAGGGGTAAGTCATAAATTCACTGAAGGATTTGGCGAGATTTGTTGAACGTTTGCGGCTTTCAAACAAATCTCTACAAAACATTGCGTTATCTAAGGATAGTTTTGAGTGAAGAGGTCAAATCGCCGGCATTCTCTTCCAATTTTTTTTTTTCCGGTGGAAACCTTGACGTGTGAGTATCTAACTGTCAACAAACCAATCAAATTACTGCACAGAGTTCGTTCTGTAACACTAAGTCGATAGGAAGCTGCTTTATTTCTCTCTTGCGTTCTTATATTTTGCGTGTGTGTTTTCAGAAAATCCATGACGACTTCAACACGGACAAAGTGTGTAAGATGGAAGCTGTGTAGTGAAACCTGTTCGGATGCGGTCGAAGAAACTATATACAATTACAACCTGGCCAAGTACCTATGTCATCTTTTAACACCTCACATTCCAACTGATTACTGTGCCACTGACACTTTCACTTTTGTACAGGACATCCAATCTTTATCCATGTATAGTAAGTTTATGGTTTCTTTTGATGTTGAAAGTCTCTTTACCAACATACCACTTGAGGAGTGTATTGACTTAGCGGTCAATCACATTTCCGAGGGTAATCCCGACATTAAGTTAAACAAATCTGAACCTAGAAGCCTTTTCACTACAGCTACCACCCAGACTCATTTCATATTTAATGGTTCTTTTTATGATCAAATAGATGGCTTAGCCATGCGGTCTCCCGGCCTTGCTCCGGTCTTAGCTAATCTTTTTATGGGACATCACGAAAAACTGGTTGGAAAATTTTAATGGCTCTACAATTTTATTTTATCGCTGGTATGTGGATGATACTTTTTGCTTATTTAACATAGGCCACTTTTCTTCTATCACTCAAAAAAAGATCCGCAATTTTATTAAGCGCTATTGCAATGACTTGGATATCAAATTGGTTTTCTCTTCCTCCAGAATCGGTAACTTGTTTGGTGTGAAAGACCCTGTCCCTGATGGGCTCCGTTCACGTGTGGTTTACAAGTTTGTACGTTCTGGCTGTAATGCCTGTTACGTCGGTGAAACCTGCCGGCATTTTTCCACGCGTGTTAGAGAGCACTTAGTCAGTGACAGGGCCTCTCACATTTTCAGGCATTTGAAAGATTCTCCGCATTGTCGCGCTTTATGTTCAGCAGATAACTTCCATGTTTTAGATCACGCCTCTGCCGGTTTTCAGCATAAGATAAAAGAGGCTATTCATATTCAAAGAGAACAACCATCTTTAAATCAACAATTACACCATGTAAATCTAAAACTATCTTTTAATTCTCACACTTTCATGCTTTACCTCTCTTCTTGTTGTCACTATTCATCTTAATTAGCATTGTTCTACTTTCAACATTTTGTACAGTAATTAACTGAAGATGACAGAAGTTTCTGTCGAAACACGTTTCACAAACTCAAAAGTTTTGTCGCTTTCTTTAAATATGATAATAAGCTTAATAATAGCAAGATGAAGCATTTTCAATAAATACAGTCTGTAACTGTAGATCTCGATTCGACAAATTTGTTTATTTTAATCGCCCTCGTACGCATGGTGTTCGTGATCGTGAGCCCAGCAGAATACCAAAGAAAAGAATTACACGTATTTTGAAGAAATCCAGGAAAGTAAGTACATCAGGAAAAGCAAACAGAAGTCTTCCCGAATGCATCTTTTTACAAGTAAAGCTTTTAAAAAATTTATGCACATGGAATCAGATGTGAGAATAAAGGAACAACGAAATATCCTTCTTCTGCAGTCAGGAGAAAATATCCAAAGTCTAAAACACAAAGGATACTGAAAATATAAAACCAATATCCACATGTAATAAAAAGTCCAAAGCCAAAGCAGTCGAATGCATGGAGGTCTAAATCAGTTCCAAATGTTTATAAAAATCTGAATCACAGGGTGGATCATTTTAAGTCCAATCTATCTGGAGATATGGAAACAAACCCTGGTCCTGTTATTAATTCTACTAAAACAATTCAAGCTCCTTACAGTCAAGACAACGTGGCAATGTTTGGGTTAAATGCTGGTACATAATTTGTAGCTATGTCACTTGCTTCCCTCATATATAACAAGAGGAATGGTGTTGTATCCTCAGTGGACTTGGTTAATATCATGAACACTGGAAATGAATTGTATTCTGGTCTATCTAGTCTATCCAGGCAATCCTATTTATTGTTAACAGAAGTACCTGAAATGATAATATTGTTCAATATTAATTATCAGCTTCAATATAGTCCAAGCTATACTGGTACTATACATGGTACTTGTGAAGTACAAGATTTCAATTATTGTGTCGCATTTGCTAATGCTATGCAGGCTTTGCCAGGACAAAATTATAATTCCTTTCTTTTAACAATCCTTAGTACTACAGTAGGTTTTTACTGTAATGGTGAAGGTAAGTTTAAGATATTTGATTCTCATGGTAGAGATTTACATGGTATGCCCCATCCTTAAAGAACTTGTGTGGTGTTAGAAGTTAACACCTTATATGAGCTGATAACCTATTTCAAGGTCTTTATCAGGATCCAAATGTTTTGTTTGAACTCAAAGGTGTACATATTAATGAAGAAAAATGTGATATGACAGATATTTCTGATCAATAGTTGTCAGCTGTCCCCCTTAAAGCAAATCATGCAGATGCAGAAATTATAACCATTCATATTCCCTTGTTATGCTGTTGTGCCACATCTTTTTATAGCATTTGTTTTTCCATCATCAAATATTGTGGGTATTGGAATTCACAGACTCTAGGTAGAATCCACTGACCATGCAAACAAGTTTTACATAGAAAAACTCAATGGCGATAGCCATCCACTGACTATAAACAATTTCTCAAGGACACTTCAATTATATGATGCAGATATTGGTATTGCCTAAAATTTGGAGAAAAAAGGAATACTATGCTGTACATCTCTCGGTAGCAAATTTTTGCTTCAGAAGCTAATCACAGATAATACTAAGGATAATACTGGGTTTTTAATGTGGATTTCAAATTATTGCTTCAGCTGTATTTTTCAGCACAATAATATAAGAAAAAAGCAAATGTGTTAAGTACTATCATAAGATTCAGTCCTAATGGCACACTTGATAAATTTGAAAAAATGAATGACATAGATTTTCTTATTCAGTCATTAGTGGATATTGTAAAAAAACAATTCCAGAGTAAAGATGTAAAATATTGTAACAAATTTCTATGTTGTTCAACTAATTTGTCAAACGCTGGAAGACAAAGAGTAATGGCAAGACATAAGTCTCATAGTCAGAAAGAACTATATGCAAAAAGGAAAAAAGAAAACTATACACAAATGGAAACTGCCATGAAAAAAAAAGTTTTGTCTGATAAAGCAATATGGTACGAGTCACTGGATCTTGCAGAAAAAGAAAAGCTCTTATCTCTCAGAGCTGAATTATATAAATCACTGAATCCCAAAGGAAAAGAAAAGCTTTTGTCCAAATCAGCAGATTGATATAAATCACTTGGTTCTGCAGAAAAACGAAATCTTTTGTCTAGCAGAGCAATTTGGTATAAATCACTGGATACTGCTCAAAAACAAAAGAGAGCAGAATGGTTTAACTCGCTCAATTCTGCACAAAAACAAAAAATAGCAGAATGGTATAAGTCGTTGAATCCTTAAGAAAAAGAAAAACTTTTGTCTGGCAGAGCAGAATGGTATAAAACACTGGATCCTGCAGACAAAGATAAGATTATATCACAAGTCCAAGCTAATAAGGAAGCCCATGGAAACTCAGTTCAAAGAGATTTAGTATACTAGTCCTACACCCGTAGTATCACTACACCTGATCCCAAGGATCCAGTACCATCCAGGTATCCCAGTTACCCTGCTCACAGGGTCTAGTTGTTTTCATAACGGTTTGGGTGATATTTAAAAGTAAAAGTCGGTCTTCTTAAAGCGAAGACATTGTTCACTGAAGGGAATGTTATGTAGATAAGGGGTGCTTATTTACTGGTCTTTTTTATTTCGATATCTTGTACCATTTCTCTTGATTTAGAGCACAATTCCATTTTGTCCTTGTAGCCTAACGTAAACAAACGAACTGAATACATTTTGATACATGGATCACAGACGCGGCGATTCCACTCCGCATTTCCGCCATCAAAGGAAATGATCACGTAATCATCGTCGACTTCTTCAACAGTGCACGCACACCAAACTCCTTCTTCATCGACTGCTTCAGCTTTGAAGCCAACAGTTTGTGGAAGTGCCATCACGTTTTTGGTCAACCGTGCGCTTAGCTCCTACGATCAAAACAGGTTTGCGATCGATAAAGTTGATGAATCTGCAATCGGTCGCTAGGATACTAAGTGTTGTCCAGTTTCCTTCAGTAATTCTAGCGCCTTATTGCGCATGTGTTGATTAAAACCGGAATTTTTAAGGAATAATACAATTTGTCCGTGTTGAAATCGGGTGTCGAACACTCTTTCCTAAGATGTGGTCGCTTGTGCTTGGTTTGGCCTTGATCTTTTCCTTTTCTTGTGTCCACTCAAAGCAATGCCTATACTATAGTGATTGCTCTGGGGATGAAGAATGCTGCATGGTTTCCAACACTTGTACTCCCCGTGATAAGTGTGTCATTTGCTATTATGACGCTGAATGTTCCACAGGGAAGAAGTGCTTGAAGCAATCGGGTCTTTATGCTGGTCTTTGCGTGGATGCAGTGGACATGACTACCGAATCACTGTCCTTCACTGTGCCTGCTCCTGATACAGAAACGATTCAGCCGCAGGTAACGGATGATGTATCATGTACTTATGACACTGATTGCTCAAAAGGCGAAGACTGCGACGACGGAAGTTGCAGCTCTTCGGTACCTGACGACAGTTCAAGCGACAGCGACGGTTTGGACATTGGGTACATTTTCTTGATAATTATACTCGTTTTTGTGAAGATTTTGCTTTGGGCGGCCTGTCTGAGAATGAGATACAAAAGACGAGTGTATCAGCGAATGGCCATCGTTGCACCAACAAGGCAGACAACAACCACTGTAAACACAACAACAGCAGCAATTATTAATCACCCGTATGTTTCATTGCCACCTTGTGCTGCACTACAACCAGGATATGCCTATTCGTATCCTGATGTAATCGGAGGAGCAGAAGCTTCTCCTTTACCGCCCGGCGCGCCACCACCTTACAGTTCCCTGGGATTAGAGGGAAAAGGAAATATTGAGTCTAAAGAGGAGGTGCGGCAAGAAATTGCCGTTTCTAATTTCGTCGAAGGAGTCGCTTCTCCCATGCAATGTGCACCTACACCGGAGTACAATTTTCATATGGTTTTTGGACGACAAGGAAATGAAAACAATACAGCGTTTGAGCAACCGAGAGCAAGTCGCGACAAGGAGCAGTAAGTCGCGCCGGATTTATCACAGTTGAATAACTCGCTTATAATATTCTTATGTAGACCGTTAATTTGTGATGCAGCCTTTTCTTTATTTCTGTCACGGATTGTAGAGTAGTAGAAGGACATTCCCGTTAATGTTACTGACTTATAGTTACCTTAGAAACCTATCGATATTGTTGAAGAACGGTGCATCAGAAGACTGGAATCTATCATTTATGTTATCACTCGGATATGCTTATACGTTTCAGCGTTCTGGTGATCTTTGTTAAGGAATGCTTATTGGGTCGTGTTTGGTCTTACTTTCTCACATATACCTACTATCGAAACTCATAGCTACCTTGGAAAACCTGCTATTTGCTTACAGCATTACAAATTGCGAGACCCGTGGGTGACCACAATCGCCATACACATATAAGTGATTTCTGTATGTCGGGTGGGTTCAGAAAAATGCTATGGTCATATGGTCATATCACATCGCAGCTATAGTTTCCGCATATACATGCTGCAAACAACTCTAGGCGTTTTTTTCGTTGAGAATTATGCATGGTCCTCTTCGATCGGTTTCGAAACAATGGACGCGTTAGAAATTAGAAAAATTCGTTTTTGAGTTTCCGATTTGAAATTCTTGAATCACTTTCGTTCACGTGCTCAATACAATAGCGATTCAAGAGCAGAATTTTTTAGTAAGTTATACGTCGAGACTCAAGAGAGAGGTATGCAATCGCAAGAAATTTCCCTCGTTGCCATTGTTTAGTGACTGGAAGATAAATAATGAACCCGGTCGTTAATGACCACGAGGTAAATAGTTTTTTAAAAATAAGATCTTAACCATCATCGAGGCCAATAGTAAAATAGATAAGATTATTGAATATACTTAATATAACTGCTTAATATTGATCTAGCCTAATAATGGATATTACAAGGAGAGTCATTCACTCCTCGAAGTTACGAGGTTAAGGGATTTTCTAAGTGACTTGGTGCTGTTTCAATTTCATACAAACCACATGTAGAAATGATTATTTGCTTTCACTGCAAGCTTATCACTTTTGCGGTGGATTTTGCGCAGCTTGTCTATCGTGTTTTGTTTAATCTTTTGATAAAATTTCTTACCATCATAATATTTATTTATTATATATTGCACCTTGACAGTGCAGTATCCATAATCTTTATCTAATAATGAGATTAAATAATTGCTGCAATGTCCTAACATTGACCTCAGAATGTTAGGCAAACCCAAATGTTCTTTTTGTAAAATCTACTGGTTTGGTTGTACTAACTGGTTAGTGTAGCCAACCATATCAATGGATATGTAATTTATAACTAAAAGGTTTTCTTTGAATTTTAAGTTTACCTGCTTATACGACTTAAAAAGATAGAAGAGGCCGAGAAAAGGGAGAGTTCTGAATCGACCTCTGGACGAATCAGGATTAACATGGATATTGTAAAAGAGCGATTCTTTTTCTGTATTCGGATGTATCAATTGGAGTAACCTATGATTGGAGTGGCAAGTTCACAGGTTGTAATCTTTCATGAAATTTTCATCTTTAACCTTTTTTTTTTGTGATTTTTAGTACTTTATTTTCTTCCACCAATAATTTCGGGTCAAGTTTGCTTTAAAAACTTAATTCCATCCACAGCAAGCAACAAGTTGATGCGAAACCTTTGAAAAATATCCCTCTTCATTGCTTGAAGAACAAGTTTCATCGCCACGCGTGATCATGGCGTAATCATAAAAATTGATTAAACATTCATTATACAAATTAATTATATATTGATTACACAAATTGATCTATAGGGATGGTTCAATAACCCATAAATGGTTATTTCCTGTTCTTCTCTATCGACATACCTTTGGTCGGGTCGAGTATTGATCCTCTTATCAAAATAAGGGGAATGTTTTTCAATTTTCTCAGGGAACAAAACCTTTTTTAAATTCGCGAGCTCCTTGGTATGTTGGTATGATCAGACCCTACCGAAAATTATTTTGAGGCTTTGTTCGGCATGAAGCCTTAAAATTTCGGTTTGCTTTAATCAATGTTGTAAATTTGAGATTTACGACAGCATTCTGTATGTAAATAAGCTTAATGTCCAATTTTGACATGTCCTCCGTGCATTTATACCAAATTATAAATTTTCATTAAGACGAGCAAATAAGGGCGAAACTGCAACTACCATCACACAAGTCATTTGTTTAAAGGCAACCCGGAAATTCTTGTAATGATCTTACCGTTATCTACGCAAAAGGGGGTTCTACCCGTGTACTGTTTTCTGCAGCTCAATCCTATAATTCACTGTAACTCAAACGGCAGGGAAATAAAGACTGCCGACTAACAGAGGCAATTGCCGCTTAGTGATGTCGACAAACTCAAATTTATACGTTGTGGTCTAATGACTGTCTCTCATCAATTGATGTGATTGTTTCGTTTTATCTGCAGGGATGTTGTTAACGAGTGCTAACACATTGCCTGAGGTGATCCATGCTTATGCTTGTCTTACACATTTAAAAACACATTGAATAAACTTTTTTTGATGTAGTTTCTTGGTGCGAAACCGATCCTAATACCTAGATTAAGTGCACGTAGGTTTGACCCATTAGAAGTGATTATACATTCTCCCTTTAATATCCATACATTATCCAGCAAACAGGTAATGAGAATAGTGAAACTTATCAAGGAGAAGTTGTTATCGTTATCTAACACCAACGTCTCATAACTAACTTAAAAGGAACGTCATATTTATCATAATGCATAAATTATGATCTTGCAGTTGTTGTGGACCGCTTTGATCCTGAAAATTAAGTTCTAATGAGAGTTTGATCAATAATCATAAACTAAGAAAGAGTTACTTTTAGAGCATACAAATGCATGAGACACACTATGGCCTGCCACTGTGCTCTCCGTAGCCTTGTAAGGATTTGATGGTCTGCACTCTTCATTCTGCAATCTGCTAATATCCACACATTATCCAGCAAACAGGTAATGAGAATACTCAAACTTATCAAGGAGAAGTTGTTATCATTATCGAACACCAACGTCTCATAACTAACTTAAAAGGAACGTCCAATTTTATCATAATGCATAAATTATGATCTTGGAAACAGATGAAGCAATATGGTCCCATGTGCTTGGAACGTAAGGAGAGAGAGGTTTCGAATCCCACTTTCAAGAAATCATTGAATGATAATTTCATGACAAAACAAAAAATTTCACTTCCCGGTCATTTGCATGCAAGTAGGTGGACACAGACGTTCTGATTGACGGAATGTTAAAGATGTTTCTACGGCAACTATGTCATAAATCATTGCAACGAACCAATCATAGTAATCCTTGGACAAGGCCATGTTTAGGTAATCCGGGCGGAGCCAACTGCCTTTTCTTTCGTAACATCTTGTAGACCTGTCGGAATCATTTTTCCTTTGAGACATCTCGTCATGACTGGTTTGTGTTGGGTTTTGTTTGGCTATGCCTTGATCTGCTTAATCACCAACGTTTACTCACAAGCGGATCCTTTTGATGATACAGATGATAAAGACACGGAGTCTTCAGGCAGTGGAACACTCTCTGTGATCATTCTCTTTGTCGTTATCGCGAAATTTATTTTTTGTTGTGGGTGCTGGAGGTTGAGTTACGGAAGATACCGTCAACAACGGAGGATAGTGACGCTTACTGTGGCGCAAACGGAACAGACAGATATGCGCCAAAATACAGCTTCACCACGTGCTATTTGCGACGATGAAATGCAACCGAGGAATTCCTATTCTAATGCTATGGTAGTCGATGTGGGTGATGTTACTCCTCATTTGCCATTTGATGCTCCGCCGCCCTACCGCTCTCCGACATTTGAGCAAAGCAAAACTGTCAATCAAAAACCAGCCAATGTGGTTGAAATGCAAACAGGAAGTTTCACTTCAAATCCGCGCCACTGGGTTTCCTTCAAAGAAGAAGATGCGTCTGTTCTTCCAGCTATTGCTGGTGCACAACCCGAAGGTTCAGAGAAGCCTAGAAAATACTGAGGGAATAAAGGCAACCAGTGAGAAAAAGCCGCCAACGAGTTATGTCGAAGAAGTTTTCATGATGCACACCGGATGTGATATGGTTCAATGACTGATTTTGAATCTATGCATTTATATCACTTTTGTGTTTTATCCGATTGTTGTAGCTCTTGTAGTTTTTACCTTTATTACGGTATTCCTAACCCATTGACTTCTTAAATAGAAGAAAAAATAAGGAGAAACATAATGATGTAAGATCGTATAGAAACTGAATTTTTATTTATTGCCCTTTAGCTCCTAAGAGTGACTAACATATAATTTCTCCTTACAGTGTTAAATCAAACATTAATGTTACAAAAATTATTAGCATGAGGCGTCATTACACTTTGTCCAAGTGCCTTCACTGCTGCTGTAGTGATCCAAAGATCGTCTCACGACTCACATTTTTCGACGTTCCCCCAGCTTAGACCTCGTGAACTGTTATTGGGTATTTTACCAGTGTCTGTTCAAAATATTGCAGTCACAAGCTCGCACTGTAAGCCGGCAACGTCTGCCGGAGGTGAGGGCTCAGGTTAGTTACCATTTCACCCACAGCGGACTTCAACTGGGAAATTATACCCCACACTGAGAATGTAACTCTGTTCAGTTGAGCCGCTTTACTTGGATTGAATAGATGGTAACCGGTCAAGTCGCTCGAGAGTCATCTCGCCCGAAGTCATGTCGCCCGAAACTTGAGTCAGGTTGCCTGAAATTTTAGTTATGTCGCCCGAAAAAAAGAGACAAGTCGCTCGAAGAAACAAATACTAAAAAAAACATCAGAATTTCAGTGTACGTTTGAGTAACAATTCTAAAAGCGTTGTTCGTTTCTAGCGACAAAGGAAAGCGTTGTTCGTTTCTAACAACAAAATGAAGTGTTTTTGGTTGGTATGTACTCGTTTCTTACTCACAGACATTACGAAAGCTTGAGAAACTCTTTCTTGGTTTCTAAAAATACCATGAAGACTTTGACTACACAGAAATCGATCGTATGGTCGGAATTAAAATATGTTTGAGTTACGATTCTAAAAGCTTTGTTCGTTTCTAACAACAAAGGGAAGCGTTGTTCGTTTCTAACAACAAAATGAAGCGTTGACCTTTTACCGACTTGTCCAACGCGACAATCGACATTCGTTTACCAGGTTTTTTCATCTGTTATTGTTAAGAAAGGCACAAAGAATCACAACACAACTTTACTTGTATGTTACTCTGTATCCGTGCATTTTTTGTTGTAGAAACGAACAACGCTTCCCTTCATGGTATTGTTAGAAACCAAGATAAAGTTTCTCAAACTTACGAAACGTCCGTGAGTAAGAAACGATTATATACCAAACAAACAACGCTTCATTTTGTTGTTAGAAACGAAACAACGTTTCCCTATGTTGAAAGGAACGAAAAACGCTTTCAGAATCTTCATAGTGTTGTCGGAAACAAAGAGTGCTTTAGTGATAAAAATTTCTCAACTTTATTGCCTATTTGCAGTCTGAAATTCTGATGTTTTTAGTATTTGTTTCTACGGGCAACATGACTCAGATTTCGGGCGACATGACTTCGGGCGAGATGACTGTCGGGCTGTGTCTTTTCAGCCAGATCGAGCTACCATTTGTTCTGAATCTCCCCGAGTCTTGACTATATATAACTGCACGTTATATGCTGTCTTAGTAGCGTGGTCATCCGGCCTAGAGAAGAACTTTGTATGACAGGAGCGTTTGGCCTGGAGAAGCTTTTGGATTTCGGCATCGTTCTCGTCAAACCAGTCTTTGTGCTTCCTCGTGGAGAGGCCGCCTACTTTCTCCGCAGCTTTCTGGAGAATGGTTTTCAGCTGCTACCAATGGTGCTTTGGATCTGTTTCCCAGACTGGCAGTTCCTTCTTTTCTTGTCTGGTCTGAAGCTCCTCTTCAAACTCACTTTTCCTCGCCAGGTGCCTGTTGGTGTCAAGCTTCTTCACCTGTACCCCTCTTTTCCTCACTGCAGGCTTGATATTGAGTCGGACTTTGGTCCGGCACAGTTTGTGGTCTGTGTTGCAGTCGGCACTGGA